GTGTATATATATAACTATATATAATATATATATATATATTATATATATATATATATATATATATATATATAATATATATATATATATATATATATACATTAGTTGACGTGTTATTATTGTTATTATGATTTATAAATTTAAATTGTGTTATAATATGAAGCTGTTTTGTATTTAATTAAATAATTAATTTGAGGTGTTGTGGACCTACATTTTATAATAAGGCATTAGATATTGTATTATTTGAATTATTTTAGACATTTTAAATCCAAAAGAGACAGAGGAAGGAAAAGAGAAAAAAATATGTTCAAAACATATTTTTCATCATGGCAGTGAAATTATATGTTATTTTTTAAACATAATGGTTTAAATTCAGTTACACTAAGACTTACTTCATTGAATAATGGAAGGAATTAGTGAGGTGAGCTTTTCACTATTAATATAATAAAGACGTATTGTAACAATTTATATAATATATTTGCACATATAATTTCAATTTTTTTGGCAAAACTATCTGATTTTTTTAACTTTTTCATAGAAAGTTATAAATAGCTTTATTTTGAAAATCTGTACATTATAGATAGTTTTCACTATTTGCAATTCAGTTTTAAAATTAATGAAGTAATAATATAAAAATATAATTATTTTAATTTGGAAGTAGAATATCAACGTGAATATTGCGTTGAAATGTTATTGAAAAAATGTAGAATTTTATTTGAGTCGACTGTAAAAATAATTGTAATTATTTTTTCTTTTTGCTAGATGATACATTACTTGTTTTCGATTTTGAGCACATGCACGTAAAAATCTTCTCATACACATCAGTGAATTGTGATGAGATAGTAATGAGACATAGAAAGAAGATTATATTACATCACAAGATATATCCAAAGAGGTTAAGTTTTAGTGCTGTAGATCTCAGGTGAGGAGCTCCTTTGTGACGAATTGCATACTCCGTCCAGAAAATTGCTCTCTCAATTGGTTTCTGGGGTGATCTCTGAAGATTCTTGATGCCTCTTTAAACATTTTCGCGATAACTGAAAAAAAATTCACGGAATTTTATATCAATAAAATTCCCTAAAACATGTAATATTTTCAGTTATTGAGAGGGACCCAAAAATAATCGGAATTCTTTATAAAAAGTTGTGTACTTTTTTTTTAATATATTAAATTGCATTCGAATTACTCTCCATTATCACTAATGCAACTAAGTTATTCAATTGTTGGAAGAACGTTTATATTCGTCCTCTTCGGTTCTGTTAGCACGTCGCATTGCGTTACGTACCGCTTTCATCCTAGAAGCTAAAGAGGAAGGATGGAGAGAGTCAGGCGAATGGTCGCGGTGGGTCAAGATGGTCGTGTTCGTTCGGCGTGGGTTTCAACCGAGACAAAAATCGTCGAACACTGAGAAACCCATGCGTTGATGCTTTGATCACCAGTGGCCTATATGGGCACACACTTTCTAGCCCTCTCCGATTCCAATCAAAATCCGAAATGCGTTGAATACGGATGCCTTCGAGTTCGTTGATTGTCGTGAGTCGATTCTCACGGATGAGATTACGGATTTTGTCAGTTGAAGGAAAACAGATAAAGTAGATCATTAATGTACACTTGCGCAGAGTGGTGGCTTCTAGGATAGGCAAGTAGGTATTGCCTTCTCTGATGATATGTATGATTGATTGTTTGTGATTGCGGGCGCGTCAACTACAAAGGTCATTATTTACCGTAGATAGTGCTTATTTCTCGGGGTGTGGCGTGATCGTCATCCGCGTGGATGGTGAACAGTCTTACTTACCGTTGGTACGGGTTTTTCCCAACCAGATATCTCCCACAAGCGAACACCGCCACGGCGGGACCAGCTCTAAGCTACAACCGGTTCCCGGTATGTGGTGTATAATTAAAGGGCGGGGATAGGACAAGGAAGAGGAAGAAAGATTGCACGCCGGTCGTGAACCCGTTTGTTAGGGTACTGCTCGGCATTCGCCTTGTGTTGATCGGAAGTAATCCGGAACAGCTGACAGCTAGTGTCGAAAAATCCTGCACCGTCGGTATCCGAACTAGGAGCTCCGTCAGAGGCCCACTGCAGAGACACAGTTGATGCCTGATCACTCTCGGTAGAATAATGTACCAGTTAAATCATTTTTATGATAATAAAAAGGAAATGAGTAGTCACAATTTTACTGTAGTGTAGTTGTGTTTAATATGTGAATATGTATGTGTATAATGAACATTTCATACATATGCACGAGTCATATTTCCATTTCAAGCGTTTCTAACAGTGGTGCGCTACTGCGATGTCTCGTTCTTCCCGCATGACTTCGTCCCGTTGACCTCTCAAGTAGGCACGACGTCGGCGTCCTCCGCTTCGCAGGTATTGTGAGAAAACATCTGAGTGAGTGAAGAAAAAGCATTTATGCTGATGTTGAGCGAGGCGTTGAAGGTAGGTCTAGAGTTCTATTGGCTGCCCACACGGAGACTCATAACTCTTACCTACTCACATGCCACGGCGCGTATGCGTATGTGTGTTATGTTTCCTTGCTAGTTACAGTAGAGAAAGTGGATTATTATTCAGGAAATCATTATATTTATTTTAATTAGTATGCTGTTGGATTATTAGTGTTACTTGATTTTGTATATTTAGAATCTGAAAATGAGAAGGATTTTATATAACAAACTGCCTCCAAGCGCTCTAACATTACTTTCACAGACTGAACAACACTCCAAACAAGCAAGGGAAATTCGAAGTTACCACTTCAACTTATTTTCCAATTACCTTTAAAAATACTCATATTTTCGAAAAATTTGTACCTGACTTTAGAGATCTGATTCGGTAAGCACATTTAAAAAAAATGCTATCTTCTTATTGCAGTTATAAGTAGCAGGTCGAAAGTACATCCTCAATTAAAATAACCGGTCTAAATCCAGAGACGCGAATAGCCAGATGATTGGGGAATATAATTTTTGGGAATGGTAACGGTTTTAGCTGCTAGCGTTTGTTCAATAGACGGACGGAAGAGTTTGGCCGTCATCGAAATTTGCTATCAAGGACCACAAAACATGGATTCTATTCACGCGGAGTTAGAAAAGTGTTTTTAGTGGGTTAGTGTTCTGTTTTGTTTTTTTCTCTAATTTCGCAATTGGGATTTTATCCTTTTTCGTAACAGGCAGACAATCTGAATCTTTTCTCTTGCTGAAAAATTCGCATTGCCCCGCATGCATTTCATAACTGTCCTCTCTCCTGCATAAGCGGCATAGAGGAAAAGAAAAATCAAAGTAACACTAATAGTACGTAGTATACAGTTTCAAAATGGAAAAGTAATTTTTTCTTAAACTTATTCCGCTTGTAACTCAACAAAACAGAAAAACCGGGTACTGGCGCGCTTCATGTAGTGGGAATCAGAGTCTCCGGGACCTTCTGTGCGGGCAGGCAGAAGAGACTTCGCTACTGGTCCATACAAACCGCGCTGCGTCAAATTAAACGTGCAGCATGCTACTGTTCTGCGGCTCGCTACGGACCTTTCTAAATACGATGTGAAGCGAAGCCCAGCGCCCAGGCGTGCATACCTGAAAAGTGCTGGAAGAGTGGGCCAGATCATATGGCGCACGGGCTTTAAAACGCTAGAATGGAAATATGGCTCGGGGCGCACGATAAGAAATGTTCATTTACTATTTAGGATAATTAATACTTATCAGTATCAAAATATAAGTATCAAAATAAGGCATTTATTTGATTAAACATATTCTAGGGTAAGGCGAGCCTACTCCTACCTAAAAGGAGAGTGATTCAGCAATTTTTCGCGTATATATATATATATATATATATATTCACTTAGTGACGTGTTACTTATTGTTATTATGATTTATAAATCTTAAATTGTGTTATAATATGAAGCTGTTTGTATTTAATTAATAATTAATTTGAGGTGTTGTGGGACCTACAATTTTATAAATCAAGCATTAGATATTGTCATTATTTGAATTATTATTAAGACATTTTAATCCAAAAAGGAGAAGAGGAAGGAAAAGAGAAAAAATATGTTCAAAACAATATTTTTCATCATGGCAGTGAAATTATATGTATATTTTTTAAACATACATGGTTTAATTCAGTTACACTAAGACTTACTTCATTGAATAATGGAAGGAATTAGTGAGGTAGAGCTTTTTCACTATTAATATAACTAAAGACGTATTGTAACAATTTATATAATATATTTGCACAATATAATTTCAATTTTTTTGGCAAAACTATCTGATTTTTTTAACTTTTTCATAGAAAGTTATAAAATAGCTTTATTTTGAAAATCTGTACATTATAGTAGTTTTCACTATTTGCAATTCAGTTTTAAAATTAATGAAGTAAATATAAAAAATATAATTATTTTAATTTGGAAGTAGAATATCAACGTGATATTGCGTTGAAATGTTATTGAAAAAATGTAGAATTTTATTTGAGTCGACTGTAAAATAACTTGTAATTATTTTTTCTTTTTGCTAGATGATACATTACTTGTTTTCGATTTTGAGCACATGCACGTAAAAATCTTTCTCATACACATCAGTGAAATTGTGATGAAGACTAGTACAGAGACTAGAAAGAAGATTATTACATCCACAAGATAATACTCAAAGAGGTTAAGTTTTAGTGCTGTAGATCTCAGGTGAGGAGCTCCTTTGTGACGAATTGCATACTCCGTCCAGAAAATTGCTCTCTCAATTGGTTTCTGGGGCTGATCTCTGAAGATTCTTGATGCCTCTTTAACATTTTCGCGATAACTGAAAAAAAAAATTACGGAAATTTATATCAATAAAAATTCCCTAAAACATGTAATATTTTCAGTTATAGAGAGGGACCCAAAAATAATCGGAATTCCTTTATAAAAAGTTGTGTACTTTTTTTTTAATATAACTTAAATTGCATTCGAATTACTCTCCATTATCACTAATGCACTAAGTTCATTCAATTGTTGGAAGAACAGTTTATATTCGTCCTCTTCGGTTCCTGTTAGCACGTCCGCATCATTACACCGCTTTCATCTAGAAGCTAAGAGGAAGGATGGAGAGAGTCAGGCGAATGGTCGCGTGGGTCAAGATGGTCGTGTTCGTTCGGCGTGGGTTTCAACCGAGACAAAAATCGTCGAACACTGAGAACCCATGCGTTGATCGCTTTGATCACCAGTGAGCCTATATGGGCACACACTTTCTAGCCCTCTCCGCATTCCCAAATCAAAATCCGAAATGCGTTTGAATACCGGATGCCTTCGAGTTCGTTGATTGTCGTGAGTCGATTCTCACGGATGAGATTACGGATTTTGTCAGTTGAAGGAAAACAGATACGAAGTAGATCATTAATGTACACTTCGCAGTGGTGGCTTCTAGGATAGGCAAGTAGGTATTGCCTTCTCTGATGACTATGTATGATTGATTGTTTGTGATTGCGGGGCGCTCAACTACAAAGGTCATATTTACCGTCAGATAAGCTGTTCTCTATTTCTCGGGGTGTGGCGTGATCTCATCCGCGTGGATGGTGAAAGTCTTACTTACCGTTGGTACGCGGTTTTTCCCAACCAGATATCTCCCACACAGCGAACACCGCCACGGCGGAACCAGCTCTAAGCTACCAACCGGTCTCCCGGTATGTGTGTAATAATTAAAGGGCGGGGATAGGACAAGGAAGAGGAAGAAAGATTGCACGCGGTCCGTGACCCGTTTGTTAGGGTACTCGCTCGGCATTCGCCTTGTGTTGATCGGAAGAATCACGGAAACAGCTGACAAGCTAGTGTCGAAAATCCTGCACCGTCGGTATCCGAACTAGGAGCTCCGTCAGAGGCCACTGCAGAGACACAGTTGATGCCTGATCAACCTCTCGGTAGAATATGTACCAGTTAAATCATTTTTATGATAAAAAAAGGAAATGAGTGTCACAATTTACTGTAGTGTAGTTGTGTTTAATATGTGAATAATGTATGTGTATAATGAACATTTCATACATATCGCACGATAGTCATATTTCCATTTCAAGCGTTTCTAACAGTGGTCGCGCTATGCGATGTCTCGTTCTTCCCGCATGACTTTCGCCGTTGCACCTCTCAGAGTAGGCACGCCCGGCGGTCCTCGTTCGCACGTATTGTGAGAAAACATCTGCAGTGAGTGAAGAACAACAGCATTCTATGCTGAGCTTGAGCGAGCGCGTTGAGCGTAGTCTACGAGTTCTATTGCGCTGCCCAACGGAGACTCCATACACTCTTACACTCACATGCACGGTCGCGTAGCGTATGTGTTTACTGTTTCCTTGCTAGTTACAAGTAGAGAAAGTGATTATTATTCAGGAAATCATTATATTTCATTTTAAATTAGTATGCTGTGGATTATTAGTGTTACTTGATTTTGTATATTTAGAATCTGAAAATGAGAAGGGATTTTCATAATAACAAACTGCCTCCAAGCGCCTCTAAAATTACTTTCACAGACTGACACACTCTCAAACGAAGCAAGGGAAATTCGAAGTTACCACTTCAACTTATTTTCCAATTACCTTAAAAAAAATACTCATATTTTCGAAAAATTGTACATGACCTATTCGAAGATCTGATTCGGTAAGCACATTTAAAAAATGCTATCTTCTTTATTGCAGTTATAGTAGCACGTCGAAAGTACACCTCCCTCAATTAAAATACCGGTCTAAAACTCAAGAGACCGCGACATCAGCCAGATCGATTGGGGAATATCAATTTTTGGGGAAATCGGCTTAACGGTTTAGCCGCTAGCGTTGTTCACAGACGGACGGACAGACGTTTGGCCGTCATTCGAAATTTCGCTATCAAGGACCCACAAAACATGGATTCTATCTTCACCGCGAGTTAGAAAAGTGTTAGTGTTAGTGTTTGTTTTGTTTTTTCTCTAAATTTCGCAATTGGATTTTATCCACTTTTTCGTAACCAGGCACGACAATATGAATCTTTTCTGCTGAAAATTCGCATTTGCCCCCGCAGCATTTCATAACTGTCTCTCTCCTGCATAAGCGGCATAGAGAAAGTAAAAATCAAGTAACACTAATAGTACGTAGTATACAAGTTCAAAATGGAAAAGTAATTTTTTCTAAACTTATTCCGCTTGTTAACTCAACAAAACAGAAAACACGGGTACTGCGCAGCTTGCATGTCAGTGGGAATCAGAGTCTTCCGGGACCTTCTGTGCGGGCAGGCAGGAAGAGACTTCGCTCACTGGTCTATACATAACGCGCATGCGTCAAATATAAACGCAGCATGCTACTGTTCTGCGCTCGCTACAGGACCTTTTCTCACAATACGATGCGAAGCGAAGCAGCGCCCAGGCGTGCATACCCTGAAACGTGCTGGAAGAGATGGGACAGATCATATGGCGCACGGGCTCTTAGAAAACGCTAGAAATGGAAATATGGCTCGGGCCACGATAAAGAAATGTTCATTATACATTTCAGGATAATTAATACTTATAACGTATCAAAATATCAAAGTATCAAAATAGGCATTTATTTGATTAAACATATTCATCAGGGTAGGCAGAGCCTACCTTCCCTACCCTAAAAGGAGACGTGACTCAGCAATTCTTCGTCGTCGTCCTCTTCGTTGTCGCCTTCTTGGTCGTCGTCGTCTTCTTCATCTTCTTCTTCGTCGTCGTCGTTGTCTTCTTCGTCTTTCTTCTTCTTCTTTCAAGGAATAGGGCGATGCCTGTTCTGGCCTCTCATTCCATCTTCTTCTTGGGAGACCTGGATCTTCCTCGGGGCCTATATTTCATTGTTTCTCTTGGAAATCTTTCATCGGTCATTCTTTCTATGTGTTCTTTCCATTTCGTTTTATTTTCTTCTATACAGTGGTTAGTGAGAAGATATTGTGTTTACTTCGTACGTCAGTATTTCTTATTCTACCGAGTTCAGTGCAGTCTTTATCAGATCTCACTCATCAATATGATTCCGGTAACTTTTGGGTCCCCCCTCTTATAACAAGTAGTACAGAATCATTCACAACACTTCCCAAAACAATTTCAATACCAATTTATGTGCTAGAGATTAGCTGTATAATATTTAGAAATTCATAATTATTTTTTATATTTATAATTACCTGGGTTCAGTGAGCATTTCTTGAATAGCCCAATTTAATGTTTCTTCTGTAATGTTATTAAGATGCAGGGAAATCGCATAACCAGCCTTTTGTGCCCGTAATGTGTTAAGCCTCTGATCAGCAAAAACGGGTATAGCTATTAGAGGCACACCAAAATATATGGATTCTTGAAGACTCATGAGCCCTCCATGGGTTATGAAAAGCTTAAGATTTGGATGAGCTGTAAAATACACTCTAATAATAAAATTCAATTTTTATATACAAATTTCAAAAAGGTAGTTGGTTAATTCATTCATTTATTGGTTATAATTCAGTATATTTTGAAAATGTAAATGTTCTTTGTGTTTACTCACCTAAAACATCATGCTGAGGAACCCATTTGCTAAGTTTTACATTTGGCGGTTGACCTGGAAGGGTGTCATCTTCCCATTTCCACAACACTTTTTGTTTTAGATTGGCAAAAGTGTTCAGGATTGCATTGCGCATTTTTTCTGGCATATCGACACTACGAATATTTGAACCCAAACTGAAGTAAATCACACCGTCAGGTGCTTCATCAAAAAACTTTTGTAAATCCTAAAAAATATATTTATAACAATGTTATTTTATATTTACTGCATTCTGGTACTTTTATTAATGAGTGTAAATGATTTTAACACCATAGAATACACACCTGAGGTAGCTTCTTTGTTTTATCCGTAATGTGGAGTCCTGCAAGTTCGATTGTATTAGGTGTGAGGGGCTTAGGAAGATGAAGAATGGGATGGCTGTGCAGAAAGAGAAAAGCAACCTTGCTTTCAATGTCTTCAACGCTCGGAATAGTGGGGTCAGGGTAATATTTTTTAATGAGTGCGTCCATTTTTGGAACAACAACAAATTTGCGGAAAAGATAAACTGTTCCCAGTCGGAAGGAGTTCATGAGACGGCCAGTGAACCCTTGCATCTCCTGTTCCATCATGATATCTGTGATGTATGATGCTGTATTCGGATTTCCAACTGGGTTACCCATTAGAGGCATCAGTGTGTTTGGAAGAATTTGAATAGATGGGGCATTGAACTTATGAATGAGTCCATAGGTGCACTCCGTAAAGAAAGGTTCGTAGATCACAAGGTCAAATTTCATTTCCTTGCTGTGAATTAATTTTTGCATGTTTGGATCTTGAAGTAATCTTTCACAGCTTTCACTGCCCATAAGGAAAAAGAAAAATATCATTGGAAGGAAATACGTGTCTCCCATTTCAAACACGTTAAAACCTTTCTCTGAAAAGAAAACAAAGTGATATTTACAAAATATGAATTAAAATTTTCCAAAATGATAATAAAGGGGAAGAAATACCTTTTGCGTGTAAAGTGTCAGGTACAATAATTTCAGTGTAATTTGCTAATGGTTGTTTCCTTGGAAAAGCACTGACCACTGTCACTTCATGACCTCGTTTTGTTAATTCTTCTATATAAGGTGTGAATGCACCAACATGGCTCTTGGCTGGAAAGGCAAATAGAAAAAGGATTCTTGCTGATTCTGCTGTTGCTCCCATAAGGAGAAGTATTAGTAGGGAAGAAATGCTCCACATCTAAAATGATAAAAAAGAACAAATAGCATTTAATAAATGAAACTGTAATGTACTATTCAATTTTACAAGCAGAACTTATTTAGAACTAATGAAAAAGGATATTTTATGAAAGAGTTCATGAAAATTAGATGTGAAGTTAAAACTTCTGAAAGTGTTATCCTATGTACTCTACTCCGTATAATGTAATTGGCTATGTATTTGTTTATCTTTTGAACACTGAATTCTCTAAGTTATTAAAGTATTTTAATTGGACAATTCGCACAAAAATAGAGAAAAATTGGTGTTACAAAAGGTGTAACATTTTTAATTCAATATCACAATGTAATAATTTATAATTAAGTTTTGTATCTTTGATTCAAGATTTTGATTCTTGTTGGTAAGAAAAAAATTATTTTATCACTACCATACATAAGATAAGATGTCACAATTCAGTGGAATCAAATTTTGGAACAGTTAAAGCTGATTACTAGGGTTGCGGATTTTGATGACATCAAACATTGCAAAAAATAATCAATTAAATGCTCTTGAAATGCTTTAAAAACGATCTAAATACAAAGAAAAATCGCGTAAAAAATGTATCAAAACCACTTCAGATGAACAGCTCAAGCTGTTGGATATGTTACTGATAATCGAGGTTCCTTCCTTTTTTTCAAGTGAACTCAGCTCGCAAACTTTTGGTTTGGACTATTCTGTCAAAGAAAATATCTGTCTTTATTTATCGCGACATTGTCCAAACTAACAAAGGCGCCAATAAACGTCAGAGGAACCTTAGAAAACACACAACGGCTGACATTGTATGAGCGAAGAAAGTGAATAGGCTACTCAGAAATTCTGTGGTGAACATTTGTTGCACCTCTTGAAGCAAGTACAATTAAAATGGTATTAAAGTCGATGAAATATGCGAAAAATACATTACAAATTACGTAAAAAGGTAAAATATGACAAGTAAAATCGACGAAAAATGCAAAAAAAATCTTGTATAATTGCCTTTCGTCATAACATAAAATGAATTTCTATACTAACGGCATTGTCCTAGAGTGCAAAGAAAGAAAATAACATTTCATTCAACTTCTGATAGTAGATGTCAGAAAATTTAGATGATCTTTTATCTCGTAAAAGGGTGAGATTCATGACAATGCCAAATAGATATCTTTCTCTCTCTGTCTCCTTGTCTGCAAACTATGAGTATACCCTAAGCAGAGATACCGAACAAAATGGTGTTTACTTGTTCTCGGTTTGTAATTAAAGCAAATTATTTGAGGGGTAAGAAACAAAATTTGGGTGATACGATAGCAAACTAGTGGTGCTACGGAATGGCACAAACTTTCCCGTATTAGTTTTCTATTTCCTTTGGTCTCGGCTAGCTACTCGGACTTGCATCATACTGTTGCCAGCTGCCATCTACGCCACCCAAAGAACATTCTTTTTTGACATTTTCTTAATTTTTTAGTTTCCTAATTGTAAAGAGAAAATATTATTTTAAAATTATACAGATTATTACAGTAAAAGCTATCACGAGGATGCGGAAGACCAAAAGGCTAACACATTACAAAAGTCAACCAAAGACATTATTAAGCTAACTACTACGAGAAAGTCTGTGCCATTTTGTATCACCACTAGTTACTTCCTAGTATACATACGAGAGTAGTAGTAATATACGTAATACAGAGAAAGTTATGTAATGTTGCGGAATATCGATTTCAAGATTTCAACAGAAATATACGTTTTAAAATACACCCTGGTACCCAAAAAGTGTTGTTTTTTTTGTAACGTCCGTCCGTTCATCTGTCCGTCCGTTTACCTGTTCTCTGTGAACAACACTAGCGCCTAAACTATAACTTAGTATTTTTTTCCAAACTGAATTAACCCCTGCTGATCTGGCTTCACTCGAAGCTCAGCAATTTTGAAAAACATTCATTAATTTTTGGGGGTACTTTACAAGATGTTGGGACATTTTAAAAATTTCTCAAAGTATATTCTATAAGTTTCTTTAAGAATAGAATAAAATACCCTGACAAAGACAACATAAGTCCGATTTTCATTGTTAAATCTAAAGTTTCGAAAATTGTGAAAGTTTGATTTTTTACGGCGATTTCCTTCAACTCCAAAATTGAAGATATAGAATTTTCCTTCAAGTAAACTTTTTGTCTTCCTAATTAAGGCCATGCATAATTTTTTAAGGTAATTTTATTAAGTCATGCATTTTTTTAAATTGTAGTTTTCGAGCAATATTGCGTGCAGTACGTGCAGTACAAAAAACTGAAAAGTACTGAAAAACAGCTCCAATTTTTTTCTTTAATCTTTTGGTGGGGATAGTGCTAATTGTACTCCGTAGGATGACATAAACGACATTCTACTCTATTCTTTTGTTCTTTTAAATTACACAAATGTATTTTATTAATTGTCTCTTACATCGTTAATTGTCTCTCACAACATTAGTGGCAATTTGTTTACATTATTGTATTTAGGAGTGCATGTGCTTTAAATTATGTCTTGAAATGATGTTTCTCAAAAACTCAAAACTTTTCTATGAAAATGAGCTCAAAATTTCACATTTTCAGAAAGGTTCTGAAAATTGTTTTTTTTGAAAATTGTCTCAATTTTCTGAAAATTGTCTCAATTTTTTCTTCCTACTTTTTATATGGTTAGTGCTAATGCATGGTATACAATGACATAAAAGCCATTTTTCTACATTCTGTTGTTGTTTTTTTTTCAAAAATTTCGCATTTAGAGTAACACTAGAACGCCAGTTTGTTAAAAATGGCTCCAAATTAGTCAATGAAATTATCTACTTAGGACGACGTTTTACTGTACTTTGGGAGGCGATAGATGGTAGCTGGCAAAAAGTACGTGGCAAGCCCAAAAAGCTAGCCCAGATCAAAGAAATTAGAAAACTAGTATGAGAAAGTATGAGCCAGTCTGTAGGACCACTAGCTTGGTATGTGTCCAAAGTCAATAAAAATTGCTTATGAATTTAAAGTCCACGCGAATAAAGATTGAAAATTAAATAATCGCAGTTAATTTGCAACTACTGTAATAATTCAATTTAACGTGTTTTTACCTCAAAATATCGATATTCCCTAATATCTAGCCTCCAATGTTATATTTTTGCTATTCTAAGTAATTTTACCAGTCCAATTCTCGTACGAGCGGTAGATTTTTGGCCAACCTATTTCAAGGAAGTAGCATAAAGAAGCCTTGGGAACGTGTAAAAATAGCGAACCCAACATAGTGAGTATTGTTGGAAATATAATTAAAAACTGAGCTAGCACAAATAACAAATATCCGAATAGATTCACTAGTTTTGTTTAATGTATATATTAACTAATCAATATTAAACATAATATTTCAATAGTTCTGTAGATACCTCTTAAAGCTAATCGTTTGTCTTTTATTAATACCACTTGTTTATTATTTATAAGTTATAAAACATGTTTTCAGTACTGTACGTTGTTTTATATGTACGTTCACTACATAATATATCTGTAATTTATCTATATATGTAAATTAATTATTAGTTCTATTTTTCAAGCTGTCATTTATATACCTACAAAATTATTTATGCTCTAGTTTCTTAAATACTAAATATTTTCTCGATACTTTGTGATTTATTTATTGAGTTTCTATAGTTCTAGGAAAGCAGCATTATAGTACTAGCACTTGTTTTTTTATAACAGCATTATAAATTTATAAAACTACCAAAATTAATTTTGGAAAGTCGGCAAACGTTTTGTGATTGGCAACCCACTAGTACATTTCAATGTCTTTGTTGGCAACATAAGATGTCGGTATTATGACGTCACCCAGGGAACACTGTACGGGTAGGGTGATCGGACGGCGAACACGGCAATGAGGTCCGGCGGTGGGGAAGGGGCGGTGATATCGGCTGATGATCACATGGCGGGCAAGGAAGATAGGTGAAGATGATAGGAGGGGATTTCTAGCAACAGAAACGGTCGTTCATAATGCTTGTGCATATTGTAAAATAGTATGGACGGTTGTTTATAAAGGTTCTTATGACCGAACAAATGCTCTCGATCTTATTGCCGCCCGAGATCGTTAGAACCAGTTAACACTCGGGGACATTTAATTGATTGATAGATCGATTAGAGTTTTCGGACGCGTCAAATGCTAAGATTGGTCCCGTTAGTGTAGTGCCTGTTTTATCGCTGGAGGTGGCGGTGATCTTTCCCTGGGTGCTGCTAGCTGGGTGGCAATATCCGCCACCGACCTACCTGTCGGATTGCGGGGTTTTCCCCAACCAGGTATCCCCCACCAGCGTGCCACGGCCTCAGCCGGGAAACGTTCTCCAAGAGAGTGGTAAAGTAATGCCTAAAGCTGTGTGTGTAAGAAACGCTTGAGGATAGGACAAGAAAGAAGGAAAAATCGCGCACGGTCCGTGGCCCGTTTGTTAGAGTTCTGCTCCTGCATTCGCCTCTCTTGGTCGGATAAACCACGGAAAACTACCTATCAGAGCAGCCGGCCGCAAGAATTGTCCTCCTAACGCGCCTGAAATCGACCTAGCTATGCAGCTTGTTTGAAAATTTTGCCACCATCGGAACACCTACCCTGGGACCTCCCAGTCAGAGGTACTGCAGGGACATAGATTAATGCCCTTGAGCAATCAAAGCCAACAGTGATGGTGGTACATTCGTATTTTCACTTCCTTGCTGCCTCTTACGCATTAGAAAGTTATGTAATGTTGGAAGTTGTGTAATGTAAAATTTTTAACATTTTGAAAAAATGTCTCAATGGCGTTTTGATTCAACTCTTTCATTGGATAGTGTGGAGGATGTTCAAGAGAATGGCTCAGGTCTCATGTTCGTTGAAAACACTGATTTTCGAAAATTGAAAAAACAAATAAAAAAATCGGCGTCTTCCTACAACTACAATTGTGAAGATACAATTTTTCTAAATGAAATATGTTCATCAAAAACAGATCTTCAAATAATATATATATATATATATATATATATATATATATATATATATATACATAC